GCCCCAATCGGCCCTGCTCTGAGCCCGACCAAGGGCTGCACCGAGGGATTGGGCCTGCCCTCTGCCACCCGGGAGCAGGCCTAAGCCAGCAGGTCGTTATCTCCCGAGGGGTCTTAGACTGCAAGAGGGCACAGGCCGGGCTAAGGGACCCCTCCTGTCCCCTGAGTGCACAAATTTTTAAATTAGGAACTGAAACTATCCTATAAAAGGGTAATATGCAAATAGACTGAACGGCAGAACAACTGAACAGCCAATCAAAGTGTAATATGCTAATGATATGCTAACACTGCTCAACTGCTCGCTATGATGTGCACTGACCACCAGGGGGCAGATGCTCTGACCAGTAGGTTAGCTTGCTGCTGGGGACTGGACACGCCGTGGAGCCCTTCGGTGATCCCTCCCCGGTCCTACAGCAGGAAAGCTGATGCCACCAGAATCTTGTCTCTAGTCCAGATCTCTCTGCCAAGAATTCAATTTTGCATAATGGACATTTCCATCAAATTCTCTCACAGTTCTTAAGTTCAAAAGCAAGTATTTTCATTACACTCCTCTATGTTTTTCTTTATATTTTCCTATTAGTTATTCATAATCAAATTCTGAATATCTCAAAGTAAATTCTGCCTCCTTTTGCTCTCTCAACAAGGCCCGAACCTGTTTATGATTTCAAAGCTTCTCTCTTCTCCCTTCCTGACTTTTACCTGCCACTTCAGTTTAGAAACTATCACACTCCAACCACAGTCTGATCAAATTTCCTAAGCAGTCTCCTAGACCTTGCTTTCCCCCTTTTATGATCCACCCATAGAAGCAAAGTTGTTTAGCCTGAGCCAAAGCCAGAACCAAATCCTAGGACTCTGACTTGAGGTATAGGCACTTTCACTATATAGCACTGCCACTGCTCTAGTGGTGATCAATGTTTGACCTAATTCCTAGCCCTGAAAAAGGTTATTTTATAACTGAATAGAAAGAACATAACAAATCCACAAAGAAGTATTCTTTAATTATGATTCAGCAGGCTGGAGAAGGTAGAAAAAGAAATGTAATTTGACGAACCAAAGAGCAGCTATGGTAATTACAGAATTTCCCCCTCCTGAGTACAAAGTACATTCATATTCAATCATGTTCAATGAATTTATGCCTTTTCCATGAATATATGCCTTTCAAAGGAAACGGGAATGCAGAGCTTGGGGATTAAGATAAGGAATTTAGGGATTAAGACAAGGACATAGCCAGGAGTGGGGAATGTCTGGCTCCAGGGCCATATAAAGCCTGCAAAACCATTTGGTCTGGCCTTGCAAAGGCATTAGGGGTGAGTTTGTTAAATGTTTGACCAAATATAGCAGGCTAGTTTTTAAGTTGATAATTTTGTATGGCTCAAGAATGATGTTATAAATACCCAAATGGCCCTTGACAAAAAAACAGTTCCCCACCTCTGATGTAAACCAACTACTTCAAAAATGATGATGTATCCTATATAATAAAGGGGTAATATGCAAACTGACCACCACACCCTCACACAAGATGGCTGCCCCCATGTGGTCACAAGATGGCCTGCAGGGGATGGCAGTTGTGAGCGACCAGGCCAGCAGGGGAGGGCAGTTGGGGGATGGAGGGGAGACCAGGCCTGCAGGGGAAGGCAGTTGGAGGTGACTGGGCCTGCAAGGGAGGGTAGTTAGGGGCGACAAGGCTGGCAGGGGAGGGCAGTTGGGGGCGATTGGGCTGGCAGAGGAGCAGTTAGGCATTGATCAGGCTGGCAGGGGAGTGGTTAGGGGGTGATCAGGCTGGCAGGCAAAAGTGGTTAGGGGCAATAAGGCAGGCAGGGAGGTGAGCAGTTGGGAGCCAGCAGTCCCAGATTGGAGAGGGTGCAGTTTGCGCTGAGGGACACCTTCTGATGGGAGCTGCACATCCTATATAATAAAAGCCTAATATGCTAAGTGTCCAGTCATCCAGTTGTCCGTTCAACCTATCAGAACATAATATGCTAATGATATGCTAAGGCCAGCTAATATTCAAATATGATGCACACTGACCACCAGGGGGCAGACAATCCAGGAGTTGCCCCCTGGTGGTCAGTGTGCTCCGACAAGGGAAGTGCCACTCAGGCAGAAGTCGGGCTCATGGCTGGCAAGCACAGAGGCAGTGGTGGGAGCCTCTCCTGCCTCCATGGCAATGCTAAGGATGTCCGACTGACAGCCTAGTGGGCCTAAGCCATCAGTCGGACATCCTCCCAGGGCCCCCGCCCCCCCTAAGCGCACAAATTTCGTGCACCGGGCCTCTAGTTTAGCATAAGATTCCTACAATACAAATGAATTTTTAAAAAATAGCCTGGATTATAACTTATTTGTTTTGCTTCAGCTACACAGTTAAAAAGAAGTAATGTAAGGTACTAAATTCCTCCTTCACAACAAACTGAGATCTTATGTAAAAAACATTCTAGAATACAAGGGTCTGTCAAAACATACAAGCATAAGTGAAGACTTTCATACCGTCTGCCCTCAAGGGTTCGTAAACTAGCCTCCTCTCGTGCGGTCATCCTCTCTCTCCGTGCTGAGTTCTGAGAAGCGTGAAGAGGATGATTTGGGTGTCCCGGGTCACCGGCAGATGCTAATGCAGAACCATAACGTAACTGAGCTTCAGTAGAATCCATAATACTGACCATCCAGTTCCATGTGGGAATAAGCTTCTCTTCTACATAGTTCTATGAAGACCAAACTAAAATAGTTAAAACTGTAAAAACCAAACTAATATAGTTAAAACTAACAAAATAAAGTTAAATTTGATACACAGCAGGTCCTTGAATAATGTCATTTTGTTGATGTGATACTTTAGGAACTTAACTCTTATTTATATCCTTTAGTATTATGGTAAAATTGGTTTCAGTTTGCTTAAAGTCAAAGAACCTATCGATAACCTATCGGGAGGACTTACGGTAGTAGTATTATGTAAACATTTAAGTATTTGTAACATTAATTCCCATTATACTGAAATTCTCATAATTGAGAGCCAAAAAATATATTTGAACAAGTAAGTTTTCATAAGTTTCATACCTGTAAGTTTACTGCATCTTGATAAGTCAATTTCACAGCGGCTGGAATCTGCGAGTATACTAGGTGATTATACTTAGGAATAAGGCCCATCAAGTCTGAGATTTGTCTGATGACAATGCTGTAAGCCCTGGCTAAACTGCTTGCAGATGTTAAGTAGCTGCTGGCATTGCTAGCTTCCAACGCAGCTGCTGCCGCTGCAGCACTCGTGCTGATGGTACCACTGCGGCGTAAGTTCGAAGGATCGATATAAATCAAAACTGCTGAACTTGCTGTAAGGAAAAAAGGACAAGCGCAATAAGTTAATGCCAGTTGCTAACTATGTTTCTTGAGCACTATATATATGCAAATGTGGAAACAGCCAAAAACTTTTTTAAGCCATGCTAATTTACGAATGGTAAGGGAGACAAGAATTACTATAAACCAGAGGCAATTTTGCCACTGCCCCCACAAAACGGGGGGACATTTGGCAACATAAGCAAACATTTTGGCTGTCACATGAGAGCGAGGGGTTGCTAATGGCATCTAATGAGCAGATAAACAGCACAGATGATGCTAAACACCCTGCAATGCACAATTACAAAAATAAACAAATATTCAGCAATGGTACAAAGACTGAGAAACCATGATATATGCTTATAGAAATAATTTTTATATTTGACCTCAGCGAAATAGAAACTATTATGAAACTATCTGTTTTCTAGAGGAACATGTGGAACTTCATAAAAATACCTAGTCAACACTTTAGGAATACCAAGTTTTCAGACTTACCTGCTGGCGTGGATGTGCTGGAAGGGGCTGTGCTGGCTGCTCGCTGATGCTGGGTGTTGCGGACAGCCCATTGCATGGAACGGGGAGCTTGGGCAGCACCGTTAGCGTGGGAGCTGTTCGTGGTTCTCTCTAAAGGCTCATCAAGCATAAAGGTCTCCTGCTCTATGTCGTCACTCTGACTACTGCTACTATCAGAATCACTCGAGTCATTTGACTGCGAGTCATCTTCAGAAAAGAAGGCAGGAACACTGCTTGCACCTAAATTTTTAATTTTTAAAAGCAAAACCATTGTGAGTTTGTTGACATTTAAAACTACAGTGTGCCCCCTCATTCAGGAAAATATATGTACTAAACAGAATGTCAGGCTGTATTCAACAATCCACAAAACACATCATTAAAATAGTTTAATTAGAAAAGAACTCTTTTAAATGAACCTTAAAATTAATCCATTATTTAAAATAACAAAAAAGCAAAAAATTATTAAAATAGTACCTTCTTTACTAACACTTACAGAGAAAAAGAATGATGTTATATAAAGATTTAGTCACCCTTGTGCATAGTATGCAGAATACAGTTTAACCAATTCATGCTAAATACAACAGTCTTAGTAGAAGTAAGGAAGTTGCTGGGATAAGGCACCATACCTGCTTCTGAGCCAGCAGTTGCTGCAGTGACAACACTTCTGCGCCCACTGGCATTATCTTGGTTGCTATGATTGCTTTCACTGTCACTTTCTGTTTCAGCTGCTGCTAGCAAGTCCAGTTCCATGTCACTCCCTAGCAAATACATTTAAATACGAATAAAAAAGACGTACAAACTCCCTGTGGGTCCAGACTGGGTCTTGTAAGTCAGAGTATCCTAAGGGAGGGAACTATGAGAGAGGGGCAAGAAAGGGCACAGAGAAGGGATAGATACACCACAGTGAGCATAACCTCCTGAAGCAGGAAAAGGATGCCTAGGTAAACTATGGCACCAAGTGGATTATCATACAGCAATTCAGTCTGCCCCGCAGAGCCTTATGTAAAAAGTGTTGAGCTGACGACTTCAGCAGGGGGAAGAGCTCTGGGCTAGGCCCACTGATTCCTTCTCATCTATGGGGAAGAAAGTTAAAAATGTCTATTCTTCATGTAAAACAGTAGATACAAATACCAAAACATACAAAAAGATAAACTTTAAATATGTACAATTTATTGTACATTAGTTACACTGTAATAAAGTTGGTTCCAAAAAAAGTCTATTCTATGACTACTGATAAAAATGGTTAAGGTGACTATGTAGTAAAAAGGCCAAAATGATTATTTTCAAGTTAAAAAGAAAGTCACAAAAATTTCATGTACAATATCTAAAGGACACAAATGGGAATAGGGCAGTACAGGGCAGGACTGAAAGTAAAATACAAACTGTTAGCATACAGCTGGCATTATGGGTCATATGTCTTCCTTTTCTCTAATTTCCAAATGTCTCATAATACAGTTATGATTATTTTAATTTCTAAAAGCCCTATAAAAAAATAAAGTGACTTAAACCAAAAGGTAGAGAGGGAGAAGAGAATGATGTTATAAATATACGTATATTTATATATGGGTGTATGTACATACAATAGTGGGGCAAAAGTAGGTTGCTAGTTGTGAGCACATGAAACAGTATTCATTCTTGTATTATTATTTATTAATTACTGTATTATTTTCCATACATTCAACTGTTTGTATCTACACACACATACTACCTCCTAACAGCTGAAACATGCTACAGAATCCCCTGGCAGAAAATAAGTTGAACATTTTGCTAAACATCAAATGGGGCTTTTCTCAGTATTAAAATCTCTCTTTAAGGTACCCGATTTACTCATGTTGAAAAATTTCTCAAATAACTTGCATACCGTCCTCATCGTGCTCATCATGTTGGCCCTCAGCCTCAGCATTTTCTTCCCCATGTTCTTCCTGTTCATCATGATGATCCTCTTCTCCAGCCACACCTTCTACCACCTCAACCTAAATCCAGAATCTTATTTGTAGACCATCAAAGTATTAAATAAACCCACTTCTCTACACATGTTCCTCCACAGCAACTAGCCAACAAAAACACAAGGATCCCTAAATACAGGGAACTCAACTCTTCATTTGCTAGTGACAATTTGCTACCAAGATTATGTTGACCTATCTCAATGTTTATAATTATTGTCCATATATAGAACCTCAAAATTAGAACTATAACAATGTATAGTTTTTAACTTTTGCAATTATAAAATTTACCAAAAATATGCAGTTTTCTCTTAACTTCAAATACATTCCACAAAACTACTAAAACTGTTTCTAACATTGAGAAGATCTTTTCTATTAATCCTTAAGTTAAAACAAGTTAATGTTTCCAATTTCCTATTACCCAGTTAATCAAGCACTATTAAAGTATTTTTAAGATGTATAACCACAAATGAGAACAAAAATCCAGAAGCTGGCAACAAATGCATTCAACAATAGTAAGCTACTATCAATAAAACTTCTAATGACTACTTTCCCCTCCTTCCCTCCCAAATAAAAGCCTCTTGTCCACCCCAAACTACCTCTTCCACGTCTGCCGAGACAATGTCATCCTGTTCTTCGTCTCTGCCCCGAACAGGCTGAGACTGGCTGATGCGCCTCTGCTGTGGGTTGCGGAGGATGTAGGACGACTGAGACTGGCTGGAGCTGTAAGGAAGCGGAGGTCAGAAGTACACTGCAGTCACACCTCGGACATAATGGTACTCAGTGTGATTCACTTGCTAGGATGCTATTTTACATTGGACCTGAAAATTCTTAGAAACCAGTAAAAACTCATCTAGTCTCTCAGGAAATATAAACCCCAAAGAAATTATTTTATCATAAAGAATAGCTCATAAATCTCAGAATTGTGTTGTGGTTTTTAAGATATGTTTTTACTGATTTCAGAGAGAGAAAGGGAGAGAAATAGAAACATCAGTAACAGAGAATCATCAACCAGTCCACTTCCACACGCCCCCTACTGGGGATCGAGCCTGCAACTTGGCAATGTGGCCTGACTGGAATCAAACTATGAACTCCTGGTTCATAGGTGTTGACACTCAACCCCTGAACCACACTGGCCGGGCTCAGAATTGTTGTTACTTTACTTTTCATGAGTCCTTACACTGAAATATTTTAAAGGGAAGTTTTCCCTTTTCCATGCTTTCAACACCAGCACTCCTTAACTTCCAAAGGCTCCATTAACAAAAGTGTGCTTACTATAAATAATTCACTCTTTAAGGGACCTGACATTACCTACTTTGCATCAGCTTATGAACCTTTGACTTGCTGGATGTATACAGGGGGAACACATCAGTTCAAAAGTGTGATGTTAAAATAGAATCATAGTAAAAAGTGGGTGACAAAATAATGTTACTTCCCTAAAAATCAAATTGAGAAACAGCCAAGAAAGGACAGAAGCCTCCATTATTTAAAAAATAAATAAAAATGGGAGAATAAGAGAATGCAGCTTAAAAGGCAGGCAGTGGCTAAATTACCCTGTGACCTACCTATTATCCTTTATTTACAGACTAGAGGCCCGATGCATGAAATTCGTGCAAGAGTAGGCCTTCCTTCCCCCGGCTGCCAGCACCGGCTTCCCTCAGGTCGCCCTCGGGCACCTGGGACCCGGGCTTCCCTTGCAGCCCTGGCTTTGTCCAGAAGGACGTCTGGTCTAATTAGTATATTATGCTTTTATTATTATGGATTATTATAGATTTTAAATCACTTCACCTCAGCTGCTCTGAGAAACAAAATCAAACCAGTTATACATGAAGAGTCATCACCTGAGACACAGCCTTGGACTAGACATGTCCCTTGGACTAGAAGGGTTAAAGGAGCCATAGTTTTCACAGAAGACAGCCTGGGGTCTGAGCAATAGGAAGTTACATCATAGCAATCCTCTCTTCTATCAAGTACATGAGCCAAACATAAATCAAGAAAGGACAACAGATTTCAAGAGACTTATCCTGTATCAGCCAAGGTGGAGACAGGAAAAACATCTTTTCAGAGAACTTCTAACTACAGGCCTGCGCTCATGAGAGTTTGGAGCTGAAATTTGCACTTTGAGGGACGGTGGGCTTCAGTGCTGGTCAATCCAATACCTCAACACTATCAGTAAGCACCAAGCAGCAATTTCTCTCCCTACTCTGCCATCTAATACTCTGCCTAATGTAACAACAAAGGAAAATACCTGTCTAGATTTTTAAATATTTCTAAACGTCAATAGCTGTGGAACCTGCTATCTAACACCTCTCTGAGCCTCAGTTTCCTCCCTTTTAAAACTGGAGTGATAGTGGTACCTAACAGTTATTGGGTACCACAGAACAGGTAATACAGCTATAATGCTTAGGGAAGTTCCTAGTTTATGCTAAACTTTCAGTGACAGTTATTATATGAGGCACAGAGACAGAGTAGACACAAATGAATTAATAAAGACATTAAGAGTTTTAAAGACGTGGGAGGAAGCAACAGAAAAGCAAAACAACTGAACTTAAGAATTTATACTCAATGTAATGGTAAACACCATCTACCATCTAACATAAGAGAAATCCCAGAAACTGGTCAAGTGTATATGTTTTATTTAAGACATGCTTGGAACCCTGGTCAGAAGACAACCTATTCGAAGGAGTGATTGTACTGTATTATAATGGACTTCTATATTATGAAGTAGTAGAAAACATTAGCACTGATAAGTGTTAATTATCAAATGAGATCTACTTCTGGAAAGACATAAGAGGTGGCCCAACAATACAACAAGGGGAATGGAGTAAAGAGCAGAGCTTAAGAGTATACAATACTTTAATACTAAGCAAGGTGAAAAAAATCTGGCATATTTACCAAATACATTGCACAAAACTACTAAAATTTAGTAGGAACAGGCTTATGGATACTCTTCAGAGATGCTTCCAAAATCTGTTCAATGCAATATAAAATTTTACGTCCTTTGGGGGATTGGGGAGGGGGGGACACACAAGGGAAGGGCACAAGGAATTCACAAGGTAATACCACCTAAGTAATTGGGGGTTCCTCACAGGGTATATGAATCAGGAACATCACAAGAGTACAAGAAGATTTCACTGGCAGAACCTTTGGATACTAAGGTGTATCTGGTGAGTCTGAAAAGATATAGCTTGATTTGTAACAGTTTTCAGCAAATCCTGGAGTGCATCAGTGACAAGGCTCCCATGGGAGAGCTTTGACAGACACACCTAGACTTAGATTCCAGGGTGTCTTACAAGACCTGATAATAAATGGAAAGTTGGGACACATACTGGCATGTGGAGTATAAGGAGAACAGTGAGAGCAGATACTCAACATCAACTCAAACAAAACTCAGGGGTTAAGATTTGGGAACTCTCCAAATCCTAAAGGAGGCCATCCTTAACACATAGGTGTTCAGAAAGAAGGGTCTTTAGGTCTTAAAGATCCTTATTAAAACATTATTACATACATACATAGTTAACAAAACCAGACTTTAGAAAACCAACAACATAAACAAGTTACTTGCTAAAGGCCTCTAGTGCCTTGCCACCCGTAAGTGTGACCCCTAAACCAGCAGCTTTGGCATTATCTGACAGTCTAAGAAATACCAAATCTCAGGCCCCACCCAGCCCTCCAGAATCAGCCTCTGCATTTTTAAATAAGATCCCCAAGTGATTTGCATGCGTATTAAAGCTTGAGAAGCACTGCGCTAAATAAAAGGTACCAGAACATTTAGTTTTAGGTTCTAAACATTCTGACTCAACAAACTTCAGTCTAGCAAGGTAAATTATCAACTAAATGGAAAAGATGAGATTTAAGAATAAGTAACTTTGTAACTAGAAATTTTTATTACTGAGTTGTTTTAGCCCCTTCCTAGTTAATATGGCTGTTGTAGAAAATATTTTAAAATTCTATCATTCTGATTGTTATCTACATAAGTTGTGCCCCATAGCCCCAGCCTTTGGACATAGAGAAAGTTATCTTTTATCTTTTCATTCTTTAACTTGGCCTTCCAACAGGCTATTACTTAAAGGTAAGAAAAACAGAAAATAACGATGTCTACAGAAGTCTTAAGTAAGTAAGGTTTCTTATCAGGTTACCGTCATGGCCTAATAAAAAAGTGCCTTTCCAAACCAAAACGAAAAACCACAACTATATGTCTATTAGACATGGAGGTATAATTTTTAAAGTACTTTTACATGTTCCAAACAAAGTAAAATCTTCACCATTTGATATACAAATGATTATGTATACCACCTGAATGCTCATGTAAAAGTTTTCCTTAAGTCAAATGTGATGTTTCCAGAGAAAGAATTAATCAGAATCTGTTACCAGGTAGAAATTTACCTGCTAGACTGATCAGATGATGGTCGTGGTGGTAGTGGTTCCACTGAAAATAATTCTTCACTGCCTTGCATGGCATCTATGCTGGTACTAGCCAGAGTAAAAGGTGCAGTTGGGCGAGCGATCCCCATTCTGACAGGAACTATCAGCGACTCTGCTACATTGCACAATTCTTCCACTGCATAAGGCAGCAGTGCCTGGAATACACGCTTGCATTTTCCAATTGGCTGCGGAATAAAGTTGCTAGAGCAAAAAGGAAAACACAGGAATCTTTTATGAATCCTTTCATATACATGATGTCAGTTTCACAAGTTTGTGCAAAATGATGCAAAAGTCAAAAGGAATGCCTTACTTTTTCTTTTTGGATGAAGCCATTTCCACACTAAGAATGACAAAAACTCTTGCCACAGAGCGCAGAAACCTCATTGTCACCGCAATGGCTTCTTCCCGACGCCCAGGTGTGTACTTGTTCTGGAGTTCTTTCACCAGCGTGCCCAGGAGGGTATCCAGAAGCTTTAGGAGATTACAGCCACTCCATTAGTGCTGAGACATCGCAGATGTTTAGACATTCATTACGCAAAAAGTCCCAACCCTTTTCAACGTTCACATTTCATAATAAAAATCTCCAAATAAATTTAACCAAAACATTTACAAAGTCAGTGATTAGTTTATGTCACATGCTGACCAGTGCTTGGCCTATAGGTCTCAGATGCCTGACTTCTTGTGTTCAGTCTCACAGTCCTATGGACAGCAATTAAAATTTAGAAGAACAATACCAAGTATGTCAGGTCAGAGGAAGAATATATTTCATTCACTAGAGGGTACTTAGTGAAGCACCTAAGTAGAGTTAACTATTTATATTAATAAATTTATAATCCCATCCCTATCACGTAACTATTACTATTATTACTTTCTAGTCTCATTTCCATGCATGGTCTACCATATAAGTATCAATTACTGAGAACACCCAATTTCATGTTATTTTCTGTTTGTTTTTTAATGTTATTTAACCCTTATTATTTTTTTTAATTCAAATATCTGCTTTTAAGAAT